GAGAGATCAGTCAGATAGAAAGAAACCCAGGAATTTGCAGAATCTAAAAGTAAGGAATCTTTTAAAGAGGAGGGAATGACCAGTCACATTAAATGCTAACTGTCATGCACGTAGGATGAGGACTGGGAATAAATCACTGGATTTAGCAACACCATATCACGGGAAACTTGAGAAGTTAGTGTTTCTGGAATGGTAGGAATGAAGGCCTATTTAGAGTGGTTTCCAGAAAATGTGGGGCAGGGAAGGTTAAAAATAATGAGTAAATCGAACTATTTCAGGGAAGTTTGTTGTAAAGGAGAAGAAAATTACCAGAATGTTACCACTTATTAGGACCCTACCTCGACCACTTGGGTCTCAATCTGTCATTCAGATGACACAATGGTTCCAAATGCCCCCCTTCCATTTTTGACACCCTCCTTAAACTTACCAGCCAGAGGTACCTTTTAAAGACCCATCTCAGGTTTTAGATCACATTTTTTGAGCCTCCAAAGAAAAATATGATGGAAAATCTGGAAGGGACTAGGAACAGGAGACAATGTTTATTTTTAATGGAAGAAATAGTAATCAATGTGTTCAACTTAGGAGGATGCCCAGAGGCAAGGGAGAAGTACTGGAGCAGCCTCCTGGGGCAGGTGAGCAGAGCCTCAATCTAGTGCATAAGGGAAGAGCTGAGCCTTGGCAGAGACGTGCATGGACCATCCTTGGTAAGTGATGGGAAGCTGAAGCAAGGGTGTGCAGATGCTGGGAGCTGGTGCAGATGCTGGTGGGAGTCTGCAAAGGCGCTTTTCCAGTGGCTTCTGCTTTCTCAGAAGGTCATTGGCTGAAGGTGAGGATGGGAAGAGGTACTGGCAGTTTAAAGAGAAAGAGTGGTGGTGAAATCATCCTCTAGGATGGTGGGAGCGAGAAAGAACTCAGTCCATGCAGGAAGTCAGTCAGGCCACAGCAGGGTTGCCCTGGAAGTGCATGGGCATGATCTCGAAGTGATGACCCTCAGCGTGATTCAGGGTTCCCTCCAGGTCCACCAGCCACACAGCTGCAGACATGGAGGCAGGAGTTGGGTATCACCAGGTGAGATATCAGTCAGGGACAGCAGAAAGCAAAAGAGGAGTGAGGGAGTTGGGGTTGTGTGCAAGGTGGGTTAAGAGGGTGGAATTTCACTTGAAAGCATGAAGGAAGGAAGCATAATGAAGAGATGTGTGGGTCAAAGGATTTTATGTTGACTGTTGGAGTTGAGGTAGCAGAAGAAAGGGGTAGGAAGGAAAGAGGCAGAGGTAGAAGAGAACAAGGCTGGAGGCTGAGACGATGGCCAGGGTTGCGGTCATCAGTGTTGTGGAGGTCCAGGGCCTGCCTGGGACTGAATGCTGGGTGAGATTACTAGCAGAGGGCACAGGAGATCACAATGGTCACGTGGAGGGGATCATCTGTGTGGCTTCTGAAGTTGACAAGCAGGATGAATGTCAAGTGGAGTGGCTGTGACTCAGGACCAGAGCCTTTGAGAGCTGAAGAGGAGAAGTGACACTGGGTGAATGGGGTGGGAGTGCTGCTGCTCGATGCCAGGAGACTCAGCTGTGACCAGAAGCAGTAGGGAAAACACCAGTGGCACCTCCAGCCCCCTCGATTGGAGGACTGTGCAGAAAAACCCTCCTGAGAGGGCAGCAGGGCACAGCACTCAGGGAAGACCCAGCGAAAGGGAAACTGGGCACAGAAGAGTGTGAGACGCAGGGGACTTTACCAGGGTGAGTTCTTGAGAAACTGGGGAAGGTTTCTGAGAAGGATGGAGGGGAGGACAGAAATGGAATTGAGTATTTCTAGAGTGTTATGGAGATTTTGAGAGCAGGGTAATGTAGCAAGTAGGGGATGAGGGGTAATCTGGAGGTGCATGGCATTCCAGGGATAAAAGCAATCATAGGCTTAGACTTGAGGTCTCAAGGAAGAGCATGGTAGTAAGGCTGTGAGAGCAGGGGAAGGAGAGCGGGAACCAGATCCCTCATAGAAGGCATGGAGGCAGGAACGACCATCTTACTCCAAGCCCAAGGGATCCTCCATGCCCCTGTGAATGGAGGTCAGCAGGCCTGGGAAGAGGTTTTTCTTCTGACTATGCTGGCCTCAGTTGCTCTGGAGCCAAGGAGCTCAGGAGGCTGGAGGGCCTATAAAGACTGCTCCACACGTGGTGCAGGGAACCATCAGGGCCACAGGGGAGGCATTCAGGGATCATTCCCAAATGCAGCTTCCCATGATGTCTTCAAGGCAGTTGCGCCATTAGCAGTCCTGACCTGGTTCCCCAGCCCAAAAGGCCAATTAGAAAGTGGAACTCAGGTTGTGAAACCAGCATAAGAAAGCCTAAGGAGCTTATATATGCGAGATGGTTGGGTGAGCAAGTGCAGAGGAGAAAACCGCGGTATTTTGTTATGGCAGCCTGAGTGGATTAACACAGACAGGGGTCTCTGTGTCACAATGTGGGAAGAACTGGGGTCACATACTGGCCTCTCCCACTGGCAACAGTGCCTCCCCGGTCTTATTTGTGACAAGGAGGACCATGGTCATGGGGTTGGGGGGGTGTCTACATTTACGTACCATACAGAGATGTGGATTTTAAGTCCACCATGAGGACAGGCAATGAATGTTCTTTCAACGTTTTGAGTTTCCACTAACACAACACTACAAGCCACATGTCTGTGGTTTCCTTGTTGCAATTCACCTTATTCTGACCGAGCTACACAAACTCTCATACCTAGCAGCACCATAAAATGTAGTGTCTTCATCAACTACGTGAATCTCTTCTCTCTAGCCTGCTGCTTTATGGAACTAGGAGAGGAAAAAAACTCAAAGGGTAAATGACATGACCCAAGAAATGAGCTTCCACCACCTGGAAGGAAGCCACCAGCCTCCTTATTAAAATTGCAAGACACTCTGACCTCAAATATGGAGAAATTCTTCCATGTGTCTTTGTGTTGGACATTGTCATTTGTGGGTACCATCATCTATGTATAATAATTGCTTTTCAGAAAAACAAGTAGAAAAATAAGCAATTTTTTTTCCATTCTAAGATACATCAGAAATTCTGAAATGTAGGCTTCAAGATGGGCCAGAAAATCTGATGACCTGAAAGGAGTTCAAAAGTATGCAGAGGGCTGGGGGTGGAAGTGTGAGTGAGACAGCCAGGCTGATATTGTCAAGAAAAGGGGCTGGGAGAATCACTAGCTTCCTAGAAGAGCATCAGTGGGGCCTCCCAGGAAACTCAATCAGGGGGATAATGCCCCAAAAGTCATTTTGGAAATGTGTAACTCAGCACAGGAAAAGTGAACAAGGGTGAGAATACCCCTTATGGAAATGAGATTCACACATTTTCATGTAAGGTGAGCTCAAGGGAACATCAGCTACCTTGGTGAAGCCATGGGTTCCTGGGGCAAATGTTTCAACCAGAAGCCAAAGTCAGATGTAGATCCCAGGCGAGGGAAAAGTCTTCATGCTTCAAAGACCAGAAGAGAAATGGGGGTTGAGTGGAGGAGCCAAGATTATGCCAAAGGGAATAGATAGGTAAGGAATTATAGGAGAGAAATTAAAGGTGAACTAAAATCTTATTTGCAAAGAGGATAGTCAAGGGCAAGGAACTGCAGCCCCTAATGAAGAGCAATCCCAGGACTGGGGGCTGTGGATGGCTTCACAGGTCTGCTGAGCTGATGGGAGGTCCCCTGCCCATGCTTCATCCCAGCCTAAGGTAATCTGTGCTGGTCATGCATCCCCAAGTAACAGAAATTGTCTGTGCGTAGATGGATTGCAATGGTGGACAGGTTTGAGAACAGGCAACTGATAAAAGGGCTGAAGTGGAAAATGTCTTTGAACCCAGAGTGACATATCTCCCTCTTTTTATCACTTGAGAGTGACAGGGGGGAAGTTAATCAGCATCAACAGCAAAATGACCCTGCCTTTGCAGTGGCCCCCAAGTCTGCTCTTTCCCTAATTTTGTTTTCTCCATTGGCTACTGAATATGTGCTGGTAAAATTAACCTCATTTTACTGATTACCACAATTACAGAAGGCATCCATTAAACAAATATTTTTGAGCATCTGCTCTGGCCAGGCACTGTGTATATCATGGGAATGGAATGGTGAACAAGATAAAGATGACTTTTCTCCTCATAAATCTAACAAGCTCAATTTATCGAACTGCAGTCAGAGTGCATGCCATACTTCTGATTGACCCTTCTACTCACCCAAAGCTTCTTTCCTTTCCATTCCAATGCATGTTTTCAGATGTTCTATTTGGCTCAGATGTGAAAACATATCATCATGTCCATTGCTATACGACACTGCTTTTATTTCATAACCAATGACAAAATGGACTCTTGCTGGTACACCATCACCAGCTCTCTTGCACAACTCAACATTTCCCAGAACGTTCACCCATCTCCTCCCTCCTCCCCTCTCCTCCTCCCTAGGAAAAGCATGACTCTTTTCCAGGCTCAGCCCCTCCACTTGTGTTCTAGGTTTGATCTCTCAATCCTCCGAGCTCCCAATACAGTCTCACCTTTCAAAGGGATTCTTCTATGTCTCAGTTCTGACGTCTGTATCTATCAGCTTCAGATAGTGACATCGCTCACTGAACATGTTCTAGACATACATGCCCTTATAACTGAAGCCTGCCCTCATCACTTTCCTATGAAACTGCTGCCCTACCTCTCTCCTTCCTTTCTCTGCCCAAATTCTTACAAAAGAGCTCTAGTCTGGCCTTCGACACCCCCACCACACACCTCCCCCTTGGAGCCTTAGGGCTTGATTTCTCTGCAATACTCCTGAACTGCTCATTGAAGGTAATGGATTGCCCTCCAACTGACTTGCTAATGGAATCTTCTCAGCTGTCATCTGTTCGATGCTGGTACCATTTGACACTTTGACCACTTCCTCTTTGACACTACTTTTGGCCTCCATGACACCTACTTTCTTCTTTGTGTCCCTCCCATCACTCTGATTGCTATTTTTGGGTTCATTCACTGATTCTTCTTAAATGTAGGCATTTTCACTAATTTGCGTGTCATCCTTGCGCAGGGGCCATGCTAATCTTCTCTGTACCATTCCAATTTTCGTATATGTGCTGCCGAAGCGAGCACAAATGTAGGCATTTTCTAAAGATCTTTCTTTCCTCCTCTTCCTAGGGACTCTCATGGATTCCCATAACTTCAACTATCAGCAAATGCTGATGGCTTCAAGACCCATATCAAGCCAGTCCTTCCTCCTCACTCTGCCTCACTTCACAACACCTGCAAATTCACTCATAGTACCTACAAAATATGCATCACACTAGTTCACTTCTTTCATTGTCACTATCACTGTCCCAATTCAGGCCTCATCATCTCTTACCAGGAGCATTACAATAGCTTCCTAATTATTCGCCATGTTTGCTCTCATCTTAGTGCACTCAATTTAATTTCCTCCTTAATAACAATCAATGGTTCCCACAGCCCATAGAATCATGTCCATATTCATCGCTTCAGAGTCTTCACTCTGGGTGCATGTCCTTGCTCCAAATATGGGCAAATTATTTACCTTCTTTGATCTCTGTATCCTTACCTCACAGCATTATCGTAGGAACTGTTGTTCAGGTTGTACACTGCAGGAATGTGTCCAACTGTTAAGTGGCAACTAAAACCCAACCCATCCTCCTATTATTAAGTCAGTTCTATGACCTGGGTGGAGTTTGAGTCTTCTCAGAAAAGGAGGTACTTTTCTCTGCTTCACACAAAGGTACAATAAGGGTTGGAACTTCCCCAGATTTATTTTTATCTTCATACTTGACATGCGTTTTATCCTCATACTTGACACTCAGACTCAAAACTTTTATTTTTCCCAAATATGCCACATACATTAAGAACTCAGTGCTTATGTTCCCATTGTCTCTACAGCATTTTGTCATCTCATTCACCGCCAGGGGAGACCTTTTCATTTTCCAGTGTCACTTGGTTTCGGAGGGTTCTGTGCATTCCTCCTGGCTTGGGACTTGCCTTTGAGTCCTGCATCCTGGTTACACATTTATAGAGCACTTATGTCAGTTTGGCTTGGATTGCACTCTTTATAAGGAACCTGTCTCCTCCATTGGCGTTGGGTGACCTTAAGTCAGGACCCTGAGTAGAGCCCACCCATGTTTGCTGGTTTGAGCTCAGTACTTCTTGTAAACCTGGGATTGTAGCTAAGCACTGTCAGGGTACAGTTTGGGACACAAAGGTAAAAAGAAGAGTTTAAGGCTTAAACATGCATATCTAGAAGGAGCTAGAGAAGATAACGATTTTAAAATAACCTTAGTTAAAGCAATAATAGTGTCATAGAAAACAAAAACCAAAAAAAAAGAAAGCAATCAAAATTACTAGTAATCCCATCACTCAAATCATTGTCATTTTGCTCTATAACCTTACAAGTGTATGTGTGTGTGTGTATAAATAAATTATACATAATATATATATATATATATATATATATGTGTGTGTATAATTTATTTATTTTTTGAGACAGAGTTTTGCTCTTGGTGCCCTGGTTGGAGTGCAGTGATGTGATCTTGGCTGACTCCAACCTTTGCCTCTGAGGTTCAAGCGCTTCTTCCACCTCAGCCTCCTGAGTAGCTGGAATTACAGGCACCTGCCAACACACCCAGCTAATTTTTTGTATTTTTAGTAGAGATGGGATTTTATCATGTCAGCCAAGCTCGTCTCAAACTCCTGACCTCCAGTGATCTGTCTGCCTTGACTTCCCAAAGTGCAGGGATTACAGGTGTGAGCCACCATGCCCAGCCATATTATTTAATTTTTAAAATAATTTACCAACTGTTTCACATGTTATACTGTAAATAGCTTCCCATGGAATAAATGCTTTAACATTATTTTAATGTCTGCATCACATTTTATTGTATGCTTATATTATGATTTATTTAAATATTCCCTAAATTTAATTTTTTCTCTTGTTTTATATAACACTGGAGTCAACATCATTATAACTAGATATCTGTTATATAAATAGATCTTACTAATGGTACACCACTAATAATCTCTTAAGAATAAATGCCTTGAATTAGAACTGCAGAGTCAAAAGTTAGGTGTTCTTTTCTTTTCTTTTTTCTTTCTTTTTTCGTTTCTTTCCTTTTTCCTTTTTTTTTTTTTTTTTTTTTTTGTGACAGGGTGTCACTCTGTCACCCAGGTTGGAGAACAATGGTGCAGTCATGGCTCCCTATAGCCTTGATCTGCTGGGCTCCACCACACCTGGTTAATTTTTAAAGTTTTCATAGAGACAGAATCCCACTATATTGTCCAGGCTGGTCTCCAACTCCTGGGCTCAAGCAATCCTACTTCCTTAGCCTCCCAAAGTGCTGGATTTATAGGTATAAGCCACCATGCTTGGCCTAAAGTTAGGTATTTTTTTTAAAGGTTTTTGATACCTATAAAGAAATGGGCCCTCAGAATCACCATTCCATTTGAAATCAATGGCTCACCAATTTTACTAGCCTCACCAAAATGGGTATTGTCAGAGCACAGAACTTTAAGGTTGGAAATAATCTAGGAGTGGATCTGCCCCATGGGTCTCACCCAGAATCAACTGGGTGTTATGTATTTTCCTCAGCTTCTCAGTTAATTATTCTGTGCAGCCAGGTTTGAGGACCACTAATGTAATCAAAAGACATGAGTGGATTTTGTGTTGATTTTAGGTTACATTTATTTCAGTTGAAGAAAAGATGTACACTTGTGTGATAGGTCATTTCTCCAGACTTGAGCACATGGAGAGGAATACCTGCATGTGTGTTTGGTGAGAGGAAGGGTAAAATAGCCTACAAAACATGTCTAAGATGACATGCCTTTTGCAGCAGCTGAATTAGTAGTTGTGATCAATGGTTACTCCTAGTTACCACTTTACAAGAAAAAGTGATTTTAGCACCTTCTTTTCTGAGAAAGGAAATGTTCTCAGAAAGGAAAGGTTTTTTTTTCTTTTTTTTTTCTGTTATTTGCTGCTCTCAAGAGATACTTGTGGTTTTGAGAGTTTTGGTTAGCTGTTACTGAATCCACCTTACTACGCCTGCTGGTGAAATGAAAAGAGATAATGCTTTAGTATTAATCACTCAGTGGGTGACTCTGTGGACGAGTGCCTCCCTCCATTACTGTGAGCTGCGTGAAGCATGGCCTCAGACACTGAAGTGCTTTGACTACAGAAAAAGGAAGGAGAGTAGGCTCCCTTTCACAGAGGATCTCACACTCTGGGTGATGAGACAGGTGCTCTGCGCGCTTCTCACATCATTTAATCTTCCCAGAGGAGACCCTCCGATGGAAAAAGCATGCATGGAGGAGACAATCGAAGAAAACTGTCATTCCTGGAAACTATTCTACAATATTATAATTAAGCCAAAGGAAAGAACAGTTAGTGGTGTTTGGAGAAACGGGAATAACTTCATTCAGGAGATCTTACCCTGTTCCAGGACTGTTATGCTAAACCAGAAATGGGATACATCAGAATCATTTGGTGGGAACTTCCCAAGGTGGTTCTGAGGGCATCCTCTTCCCTCATTGTCTAGGGTAGATTTTTGTCAGCCTCAGAACTATTGGCATTGGGGCCTGGCACTTCTTTGCTGCGGGCAGCTGCTGCTCTGCACATCATTGGGATGTGTAACAGGACCTCTGATCTCCATGAAACTGTTCTCCAGTTACCAAATGTCATCATGTCCCCTGGAGCATGATTAGCTCAAAAGAACTAATGATAGATAGTAGAATTATGAGCAAGATAAGGCAGAAGGGTCTTAGATTGCCAGGCAATGAGTTGACTTTTTAAAGGCAAATAACATTCTTCCAAATAATTTTTGGATACTTTTTAATAGGCAATGGGATATTAGCTTTGGGTAGGAATATAAATTTTATGAAAAGGGTGTTCAGAGATGGTTAAACAGGCACAGACAATATTAGGGAAGAATATACAAATAGCAAATCAACTAATCAGAGTGCAGTTAGGAGCTTAAAGGCACAAATGTGATTATTTTGTTGTGGCTCCAACATAAGAGGAAATAAAGATTGAGAACATATTTCTATATTCTTCTGTAATGGGTGACTCCATCAGAGAGACATCTACCCAGAAACTGAACTTGAGTTTGTGTACAAGCAGCAGTCCTTTAAAATGAGAGAAGTTTCCATTATGATGTAAGGTAAGTTAGGATAAAAAAAATCACGTTTAAGTCTTTAATCCATCTGGAATTAATTTTGGTGTAAGGTGTCAGGAAGGGGTCCTGTTTCTGCTTTCTGCACATGGCTAGCCAGTTTTCCCAACACCATTTATTAAACAGGGAATCCTCTCCTCATTGCTTGTTTTTGTCAGGTTGTCGAAGATCAGATGGTTGTGGGTACGTTGTATTTCCTCTGAGGCCTCTGTTCTGTTCCATTGGTCTATATCTCTGTTTTGGTGCCAGTACCATGCTGTTTTGATTACTGTAGCCTTGTAGTATAGTTTGAAGTCCAGTAGTGTGATGCCTCCTGCTTTGTTCTTTTTGCTTAGAATTGACTTGGCTATGCGGGCTCTCTTTTGGTTCCATATGAAGTTTAAGGTGTTTTTTTCCAGTTCTGTGAAGAAGGTCATTGGTAGCTTGATGGGAATAGCGTTGAATTTGTAAATTACTTTGGGCAGTATGGCCATTTTCGCGATGTTGATTCTTCCTAACCATGAACATGGAATGTTTCTCCATCTGTTTGTGTCCTCTCTTATTTCATTGAGCGGTGGCTTGTAGTTCTCCTTGAAGAGGTCCTTTACGTTCCTTGTTAGTTGTATTCCTAGGTATTTTATTCTCTTTGTAGCAATTGTGACCTAACACCATAAAAACCCTAGAAGAAAATCTAGGCAAAACCATTCAGGACATAGGCGTAGGCAAGGACTTCATGATCAAAACGCCAAAAGCAACGGCAATAAAAGCCAAAATAGACAAATGGGACCTAATCAAACTCCACAGCTTCTGCACAGCAAAAGAAACAGTCAGTAGAGTGAATCAGCAACCAACAGAATGGGAAAAAATGTTTGCAGCCTACCCATCTGACAAGGGGCTGATATCCAGAATTTACAAAGAACTAAAACAGATCTACAAGAAAAAAACAAACAA